AATATCTGATATATTTTTTTTTTGTTTCTCGAACGATTTAATACGAACAAATTACTCGTAGCAAACTGTACGCGTAACAAAAATTAAAAAAAGAAATAAATCACTAATTTCAAAGGATTAACAAAAAAAACAAACGATCAATCTTATGTTTCGCAGAAAATCATTGTAGAGATATACGAGCTTTAAAGAAAGAAATGTTTTTCTTCGTGTGATATGAGAAAGTTTAAACAAAGTTAAAGAAAGAAAAAAAACAAAGTGTTAGGAAGTAAGTAAGTTAGGAAGTAAGGAAGCTATATATTATATCTATATATACGAGAAGAAAATATTAAAAGTAAAAATGGAATAAAAAAAAAGAAAGAAATTAAGATCGAATAAGACATAAAACACTCGTATAAAGGAATTCAAGTTGAAAGGGAATTAATTCTTGAAACCGCGTCGTAACCTATAGAAGCACGGGTAAGTTCGCCACAACATAACGGCTAATTGCAAAGTACGCCGAGTAAATCCAAGTACCGCCTTTCCCCCTTTCGCCGCCCCTCCTCAATTCCTCTCCCATTTTCTCTCAACCATCATCCCTCTACTTTCGTTGATTCTCAAGTGCGAGAAGGAGCAACAGCAACAAGCAGCCCTTCTCTTCTTCCTTCGACTACTAGTAACGCGCGTTTACCTTCACCACCACCACCCACCCCATGAGCTGTTACTTCGAGTCAAGCTTCTCTACACTATACTCTTACTCACATACAACTCACCCTTACTATCTTACCCACCCCAATTCTTGCTATAATTTGTACGCTCTCGGTCTTTAGTAGTATAGGGACGAAGAAAGTTTTCGTCCGATGCACGTCGAGACTCGGCTACGTCATCCTCCATAGTCCTCTTAGTAGCTACCTACCTCACCATTTGTAGTTGTTAGTTGTGTTAGTGTTAGTGTTAGTGTTAGAGAGAGTGAGTTGTGACGGTGATCATCATATGATGTGTGGTCGGGACTTGGTTATATATATATAAAAGCGGTAAACGTGGACTAGACGATATTAAAGGTAAACCTCACCCTACTTCCCCACCCCTCTGTTAGCCCCTCTTGGCTCCATTTATGCGACATTAGAGACTTTCGTATAATAGTGACGAGGAGGAGAAACAGGAACGTAGACAACGATGTTGGGGTGAACGGAATCTTTGAGGAGTGCATGCATAATGCTGTTCAAAACGACTTGATATCAGAAAGGGATGAAACAAACAAAAAATCAGACATAATGCGAATAATATTTTTATAATAAACTCTCTTCTTATTTCTATTTGTACTTTTTTGGGGTCTTTTGTCTTCTTTTTATTTCTTTGTAGACATGTACAGGTATTTTTATTTCTATAACAGAAAGATATAGAATTTTTCTAGAGCATTGACAAAGTTTAAAGACATCCAGCAGGGTTGGTTGTCAGAGAATGGAAGAACAATCTTGTTCTAATAGCCTTCGGGTTTCGTATAGATGCGTATCACGTGACCACTAAACAGGAAGAAAAAGAGGAAGAAAAAGAGGAAGGGAAGAGGAAGAAAAAGAGGAAGAGAAGAGGAAGAAAAAGAAGAAGAAGAAGAAGAAGAAGAAGAAGAAGAAGAAGAAGAAGAAGAGGAAGAAGAAGTGGTTATATCTTCCACAAAATTTACGACAAACATTAAAGTCGAGCGCCTAGAAAAGGAACAGGAGGAGAAGGAGGAGGTCGTGGGAGTCTTTGGACAAACTTTTCAACATTAGCAAAGTGTGCTTTCAAAATATCTGTAAGCGTATCTTCTTTCTTTCTCTCTCTCTCTCTCTCTCTCTCTCTCTCTCTCATTCTTTCTTTCTTTATCTTATCCTTTGTCCTCTGTCTTTCTCACTCACACCCACGAACTTCTCGCTATCTTATTTCTTTGACTCGACCCTCACAGGGCTGGCGGGCGGCACCACGGTATCGGAAGTTCGAGTTGATACGAATATGCATCTAATTAAAAACTCTTGATATGGTGATTAAAGGTAGAGAAGGTAGTTGTTATATTATATCGTTAGTTGGTGGAAGATACTCGGAAAAGTTAAGCTTGTGTCTACGTTAGCTTCTATTAATGGTAACCGGTTATGCTACGTTAGCAGAAAATTAACACGTTAATTAAATACAATGTCGTAGCATCCCAGTTTCTTCATTTTCATCATCATCATCATCATCATCATCATCATCATCATCATTATCATCATTATCATCATTATCTTTATCATCATTTTATTATTGGTTAAAGTAATGAACTGTCATTATATCTAGTGGAATATTCAAATACATATTTAATATAATAAAATGTATTGAACAATTATATATATATATATATGTAAGCTTTGTTTACTTATTGTACGATGTTATTAATTGTACTTTGATATCTACGGTTATACTTGAGAGGTCGACTTAACGGATGAGTGGTTTGAAAGGAGCGAGTAGGAGATTAAAACAGTAGAGATAGATAGACTAGAGAGATAGAAGGATTTAGTGCTAGCAGCTGATTGCGGTACACCTTTTTAAAAAGAATTTAAGAAATAATATAAAACAATAATTATAGATATAGAGATAGAGAAGCATAAACATTACATTGTTGATTCTCTATATTTTAGGTAAGTAGGACATACGTTAGGGTAAGTAAGTTTGTTACGTTGTTAATAATAAAATAATAAAACTCTATATTTTAGACGAATCAATCTTGTGTTTCTGCTTCAATTTGACCTGTCCACACATTATATATATATAAATTAAAATAATAATTAAAATAAATAAAAAAAAGAAATTTATAAATGAAAGAGATTAATTTCGAAATTTTCGAAGGCCTCTCCTCTCTTGAAATACGCGAAGCCTCAATGATATTACAAAGGAGAATAACAAAAAAAAAAAGGATTCCCTTTGAGATCGCAAATCGATAGTGGACGACGAAAAAGGACACACACACAGATACACAGAGTCAGACATGGTGATGAAAAAGAGAAAATAGGGATAGGAGTCCCTTTTTTTCGGCATTCCTCTCTCGTAGCGTGAACTCGGCAATACCATTGTCCGATTCTGGATTCTATGTGCTACGTTGGCTTCCTGCAATTACCGCGATTGTCTCGATTTTTCCCTTACTTCCGTCTTTTTCACAACCACTGTCCTGTGTTACTTTCTGTGTAACCCTAACCCACTATATGTACTTACTATTACTACTACTACTAATATTTCCTTCTTTCTTCATACCTTTTGTTACCTAAAAGCACCAGTGTCATTCTATTATCATTGATATGCTACAACTGTTTTTTTTTATAATATTAATCTTATTATCTTATTATAATTAAATAACAAAATAAAAAGAACAAAATTAAGGATATAAAAATACAGTTATAACACACGAATAATAATTAATTTCTTTTCATCGTCGTCTATCTCCGTGTTATTTTCATCTTTTTCTTTCAATTATTTTCCTTTTCTATTGATTTTTTATCCCATTTTTATTTTGGTGTTTTTTTGGTTATTTCTTTTATCAAATATCACTGAAACTTATATCATTATTTTATATGGAATATCGGATTTCGTTTATCAATATATCTTTCCCAGTACATATATATATATATATATGTGTACATACATATGTATGTGTGTAGATATATTTGTGATCGTGTTTGCGATCTTGGCATGGCTCGAGTTAGAAGTTAATATACAATAGCAAAGGGTTATATATATAATGATTTTATATCAGAAGGGACAAATAAAGAGAAATACAGAGAAAAAGAGAGAGAGAGAGGGAGAGAGAGAGAGAGAGAGAGGAAGTCATGAAATTGCTAAAAGAGAGAAAAGCAGAAAGGTTGGTGTTCGTACGGCGTGGAAAATGCTGGGTCACTCTTATCGCTCTGGTTCCATACGCACGTAGGGAAAACGGTCGCCTTATCTGGCGTTTCCATGAATAATTTAGAGAGCTTCGTGCTGAAAACTTTTGTACCGGTTTCGCGCTCTCTTCGCGCGGAGTATGCAAGAGAAAACGAAAGAGAAAGAATGAACGAAGAGGGGGAGAGATACAAAAGAGAAAAAAAACCACCACCACCAACCAACACCAACCAGCACCGCCAAACGTAGCACAGCACAAGTCGTGCGAGTAGAGAAATTCGAAATGTGAAAGAAGGAACACGGTGGAAAACGTTTCGTGAGAAAATAGGTACACACCGCACAGAACGAGAAAGAGAATGAAAGAAAAAGAAAAAAAAACACCTAGAGAAAATGGGGTAGGGGGTAAGACCGGCCATTTCTATTGTCAAAGAAAGGTGCGCGTGTATCAATGGTGGTACACACACTTATGTAATGTCATTCCTCCTTCTTGTTCGAAGAAAAAAAAATTCAATCGATTCTGCAACACCCCCGTCAACACAAGAGAACAATAACAGTGTAGAAACTGATAGAAGTTGGATTGGAAATGACACGAGTATCGCTAAGCAAAATGATTAATGAACGATTATCCTTGAAATGGATGAGATAATTTCTTAAAGAGACATAACAAAAGGGAAAACAACGATAATTAATTATATATACAATAAATATTTTCACTTATTTATATTCCAATTAATATCATCGAGAAAACAATGTCGATAAAATTTTAAACGAGAAAATAGAGAGAGTAAGTGATAGAGAAAATAAATATATTCAAAGTGAAACTTTTACGAGTTGGCCAATCTCGATTGTCCATGAATAGTATCGATGTTAAATAAATTATTCGATCTCTCTAGAAGAGAGAGAGAGCCATTTAAAAAGTATTTTCATGAACGAAAAGCTCTCTCGTTTGAACGTACCTCTTGTAATACTATCCTCCATTTGAAATTTTCTCTCTTTCTCTCTCTTTCGTTTTTCTCTTAATGTTTTTGCGAACGATCGAGTTGGTTTTTCGTTAGGTTATAGGGCTTTTGGGGGTTAAACGAGGAAAAAGATAGAAGAGGGAGGAGTTTAGGTCGATTTGAAATAGGTTTTAAAAGACTTACCCAGCATGAAGGAACATATAGAAGGCGAACCTCCAAAGCTCGAGGCGTTTGTCCGGCCTGTAGATGAAGACACTGTCGATTGGTACTGGACCCGAGGGATTAACCTCGCCCTTTGCCACGGTGTAATAAGTAAAGAAACCCAACTGAAAGAAGAAAAACAAAATATAAAATATAAAATGGGAAATAAGTTGAAGAATTATTCTATATTTCATAAATATTCATTATTTTAACATTAAATTTATAGTAATAGTTTATTAATATTTATTATTAAAAATATTATAACCAGGGAGTCAAATTTGATGCTTATTGTTACGATAAAAAAAGAATATTAATTATATTAATATAATAATTATTTTTAATATTATATTATATTATATATAAAATACATAATATATATAGATAATAATTTTTTTTTACATTTATTTTATATTTTATATATTTTATGTAGAATAAATATATAAAATGTATAATATAATTTATTATATTATATTATTATTAATTATTATAATCTATGAATATTTTCTCACGTTTATACAATACTACCAAAAAAGATCTTTATCTTTTTACAGCATATCTAAAATCAACTGCATACGATTTTGATCTTTTATTTTTTTATTTATTCGTGTTATGAACCGCACCCACGTTGCCTTATTTAGTAATTTAATTACATATAAAATATAATTTATATTAAATAATATCAATACAAGTTGGATTGTTAAAAGGAGTCAATTTACTGATCAAAATTGTCATTTTCAGATTGTCTTACACAATAATAGTAAAGTATCGATCCCAGACTGAACGTTCTCATGTAAGAGGTAAAATAATAATGTAATAAAATTGTTTCGTAACTTCAATCCCTCATACTTCCCGCTTCAAATTCAACCCACCATTTATTACCCCATCGTGTCGTCCTTCAATATTCTCTCTCTTTCTCGTCTTCCTAGGATTGTGCCTGCACGAGTTATAAACGTTTCCATTCTTCAACTTTACGTGAGTGAATGAGTGAATAAATGCATGCGTGTGTGCGTGCATATACGTGCACGCAGGGTTTTCTTACGTGTAAAAAAATAAACCACCGTACACGTGCGGGTTTTGTTCGTTGTACACGAAATTTCTCCGCCCACTCACTTCTTCCCTTTCATAAATATGCACTTGCCGTTTAGTTTCCGCTTTTATTATAGTAACTGAGACGGTTTATTTTTGCGTATTCCAGGGGGATAGGAAAACTTTTTTTCCATTGTTTTTTTTTTATATCTCGGTTACGCACCTGGTTGTGTGTGTCAGAGAAAAGAAAAAGAGAGAAATAAATGAGAGGGGAATTGGAAAGAAGAGAGGAATACAAAACGACGTTAACTTGAACGTGAAAATATCCCTCATTGCGAAATCGAACACGGTAGAAAGGAGGGAAAGGGATGATAAGTTGAAAATAGGGAAAAGGGTAGGAAATTATTCTCCGCGGGGCCTTTTTTTCTTCTTCTTTTTCTTCTTTCTTTTCTTTTTGTTCCTTTTATTTTTTCCCTTCCACTTGAAAATCATTGTCTAATAATACTCGGTAGTTTTTCTCATTTTCTTAAAAAAAAAAAAAAAAAAAATTTGCCAACGACGACAGATCGTCGAACTTATAACTCCACAGCTTTTCTCTGACTCTTCTCTTCTCTAATTCTTCTTCATCCAATCCCACCTCGCGCGCATTTCCTTTCGTAGAAATCCAATGGCGCAACCGACGAACGAAATTGCCATGTTAATTAGGACATTCCGTTCGCGGCATAGGGGGGGAAAAAACGTGCCTTCAGAACGCACGATTAAGCGCGGTGCGTTTACCAACGGTACGGGAGAAAACGTGACGCGGATAGCCAATGAAACGCGAGCCGAACGAAATTTCATTAGGGTGTCGTCTATTGTAATCTAACGAAAAAAAAGAAAAAAATCTACAAAAAAAAAAAAAAAAAAAAAAAAAAA